AAAAATTAACAATAAAATCTCTTATTTATACCCTAACTTTATTGATAATTTGTGAATTTTTTTTTGTAGGTTTTAAATTATAGAATGTATTGATCGAAAGGTGTTAATTATAAAAAAAATAATGTGTAAAATATAAATAAGAGATTTGACAAAAATAAATAAGTGCATTTTTTTATTTCATTCTCTAAAATTTTACAGTGTTAAATTATCTAGTGTTGTAACTGGTTTTTTTTTCTAGAAAAATATTAATAGTTAATTCACAAGAAGTTTCTAAGGGGTTTTTTTCCGCATTAAAAGAAAGATTTTTTTAATATGTGTTTTAAGGATATATTAAATATACATTTTTATCATAAATATACATAAAAAAAATAAAAATTGATATTAATTTTAATGTCAAATGAATTTAACTAGATATTTAATAAATTAAATATTGACTTTTATTTTTTAAATATAAATTTATAATAAAAAATTATATTTATTACACTTTTAATCTATACTTTTAAAGTATAAGGTAGACAAATCTTTAAAAAAATAAGTGCATAGCCCAATTAAAACTCTTCATCCGAAAATAACTATTACTTAAAATTTATATCAATTAATTTTTTAAAGGAGATAAATATTTTTTATATTTTAATTTTATTGTTATTGAGTATTTATTAATTTTAATTATTTTTTACTTTAACCATAATATTAGTCTCTAAAATAGCAATTAATTTGACACTTTTTAAATAATTATTAAATATAATAAAAATAATTTTCAATTAATTAATATAAAATTATTTCAAACACCTATTAATTTATTATAAACATATATCCAACTTTCGTATCAATAAAAAATTTTCAACCTAGTAAACATGATAGAATAATTCATCAAAATCTTCATTAATTTTTTTATCTCAACATTTATAACTATTATTTTTTTTTTATAAACCTTTTGTATCTAAAAATTACATTGGATCTTGCTTAATTCATAATCGAATTGCATTAAACCTCATAATGGGTGAATCTTTCCTCGCGCCTATTTCTGAATTTACAAAATTCAAACTCGAGATCTTACTTAAAAAATATCGAACTTCTTTATATTCGGACCAACAAATGATTGGTTATATGATATTTTAGGTAAAATTGTTTTGGTGAAATAAAATCGAATTAGTAAAATCGAGAGTTTACTAAATTAATTTAAAATTTATATATTATTAAAATTTAACATCAAATGTTTAAATTTAAAATTTATCTAATAAATTTTATTACTAATTAATTATTTTAAATTTTTTTTGAACATTTTTTTATTTTATAGTTATTAAATTATTTT